CTGCTACCCTTCAAAAGATTTTCTCAGAATCATGTAAAAGCATGGCTTGTGCTTGTGTCAGATTTGACTTATTGCCTGTTGCCTTAGTTTCTGCTCCAAACTCCTGTAAATGAGTTTGCAGATGTATCTCAAGTTGCAGCAGCAGAGAAAACTTTAGCTACTGAAGATGTAAAGAGAATATGTGTTTTCACTAAGTTTTACCATTAACTAGATGGGCATGCAATTCTGTGGATTGTGTATTAGTGTAGATTTCTGTTTTAGCTTATAACATAAAGATGAGAGCTGTGCTTTGTTCCATCTGAGCACAATATAAATGAAATTTCTTAAGTAAATAAATAGTTTTCCCTTAGCAGAAACTATAGTGTTGTCTGGTACCTCTAAAACATCCATGAAAGCACAAAAATGCCTGCATGTGGGAAGAGGTGCATGACTAATGTTTCTTGGTTGTTAGAAAGTCTGTATGTTACTTAACATCTTGCATTTTTATCTAAAACTAGAAGTATACAAATCTTAGTAGCACTTCTGAAGATTTTTTAAAAAAGCATTCATATAAATGCAGACTCTTATTGCAGCTGTCCACTTATTGCAGCTGTACGTTTTAGAGCAGCATCAATGCCCATAACAATGATATGGTTTCAGTGCAGTGATTAGTTTTCACCCACTTTGGAGCACTTTTGTAGTGCCAGAGTACTCTAGAGAAATACAGGTTGAGAAGAGAATTGGGTCCTTCATCTTCCCATTAGGTGTGAGGATGGCTATTGCAGCTCTCTGCATGCACAGGAGTAACAGTGAGAGTCCACACAGCTCCTGTGATGAGGACTGTACGCATTTCTTTCTGTGGTAGGGGGTGTTTGACACCACCTACACTGGGCTTCCAAATGCTGCTTCCTCGTGTGCTGCTGTAGCAGTGTGGGGACTCAGGTCCCAAGGTGACTTACAGATAGCCCAGGGTAAATCTTTTCTTTCCGATGTAGTGTGTTGCAAAACTTTGACATGGCAAGTGAAAAATATGGGAGCATGTGTCAGGTCAGTACTGCCTCTGGAAGAACCAGAACTAGAGCCTGAAACACGAAGGGAGTGAGATACATTCAAGTAGTAAAAATGAGATAAATTCCTGGGTTTTATTTCCCATGATCTATGGTATCATCCAGACTGAACCTTCGTGAGCCCACCTCATGCTTTAGTTGATACTGGGAAATCATCTGGGCACAGTAGTGATGTGAGGTGTAAAATGGAGATGACTGACTGTAATGTTATCCAGATGCTGAAGTCATATCGCACTGGAGCTCTCATCTCCTAAGACCTCATCTAGATCTCGACGAGGTGGCTTGGGCCCATGTGGCAGTGGTAGGAGAAGCAGATAAAGGAAGGGAATTCATATCCTCAAATGATCTGACAGCTTTAATTTTGGGGAAGAAAGCGTGGAACTTCATCTGTATGAAAGTGCACCTGGTTGGAATGTGTACTCAGTGTAGCTGCTCTTCCTGTGGCTTATGAGATGTGTATGATCCTCTTGTTTCATACCCCTAGAAAATAATACATTACTTTATAACAAACACCAAAGTGGAGGAACTTGAGCCTTGACGATGGTTTTGGTGGGCCTGCTGCCTTTCCTTCTGTGACCAGACAGAGTTGTTAGGACAGTCTATTGTCTTAAATATAGATTCACGTGCCCTTATAGGATGCAGGATGGATGGAGATAGTGGAGATGGCTTTAAAGGGTGGTACACAGGGGCTAAGAGACCAAAATTTGCACTGTGGCTGTGGCTGGCCAGGTGCTTAGGCTTGTCCCTCTTATACAGGTATACCTCACATGTGCTGGAGGGTAGCAAGGGCTATGACAGCCTAAGGATACCATTCTAAAGCAGATATCTATCTCATGATGTGCAGAAGATTGAATTACTCATAGGTACAAATGTGAAACTGTATGTCATGTTCATTTAGCATTGAGCTGAAGTTTTTGTCTTTCGTGACCTTTGTTCAGTTGTTACAAAAAACAAGTCCCTCAAATCCAGGAATTGTTTGAAAAAGACTGTAATGCCGGGGTAGCGTGTTTAGATTTGTTCTCGTTCCCACTCTAGTTGTATGGATTTGATTACAGAAGTTGCTAAATTCCATTGATTTATCAGTCTGCAAACCCTTAGATTTCTTAAAACCATGGAAGAATAGAAACCACAGATTACTTTAAATGCACACAATTTTTTTTTCTGTGAATGCATAATGCACAATTTTATTCCATTTATATTAAAATAAATGGAGCTGCTTTTTTCTTTCTTGACGCTGTTTTCAGGCTGCTTTCCTTTTGCCTAAACGAAACCCTTCTGATGCTCTTGCTTGTCTGGCTGGCTGTAAACCAGGTATTTAAACAAAAATAAAGAGTTGCCAGTTTTGCCAGCTGGGGATGAGAACCCGGCTGGTGATATGCGGGTTCAGGAGGCAGTTAATCCAGCTTTTATGCTTTTTTATGATTTTATGTAAAAAGAGGTTAAAAATCACATTTGGCTCTTTCTTTGTACCACTGTTTTGTTGCTGTTGTGGGAATGCAGCAAAAGGTTGCTCATACTTTTTATTATTATTAGGTAAAGCCCTGCATAAATTAGGTAAAACCCCAGATCTGGTTTGTTTTAGCTGTTGGGCATGTGATTTGCCTCACTCAGAGAATGAAATGCTTTATATTCCCATTGCGTGCTTTTGTAAGTCACACGTGCAAGCCACACCTCAGCTCACTTGTAAAAAGCTCCACCACTGCCTCACAATTTTTTGTATTTCACTAGCTTCTAAAGAAAAGAATAACTAATGGTACAAATAGGAGAAATGATAACGATGCTAAAACATGTATTAGAAAAACACATAATGCTTTTATTCTGTGGCAGAAGAAATGGTGATTTAAAGACAAGTGCCGCAGATTTCATATACAGTTTTTCAGCAAATAGCTTACGGTGTGCTGAAACTCATAAAATGTTTAATTAATTTTAAAATGCTGGAATTATTTTAGTTGCTTTTGTCACATGTACTTACTCAGATAATTTGTTGTGTTTTACACTTTCCAAAATTTCACCCTCTATTTGGAAATATCAATGATGTAACGAATCTGTGTGTTTTGGCACGGTTGTAAATAGTATGTGTTAATGTGTTAATATTTATGATTTTTTAATCTTATATACACAAGAGGGATTTGTAATACATTTCTTTCCATTGCATTCCTACTACTAATCCTTAAAGATAGTGAAAATTGGGAATATGAATGCATTAATTACTGTGGGAACATCATTGCCATACTGTATTTTGCTTCTGCTACTAACATGTACCAGGCACTTAGGAGCAGGATTGGATTTACTGGGGAAGAAAAAGGAGAGGCAGATAAACAAGCTGTGCACTCTCACAGGGACTTCCCATTGTCATGCACGTGTCCTTGTAGGACATGGTGCAGTCATGGCCGCTCAGTGTCCCAGATGGGTGCAGGCTGTGTCTGCCATTGCTTCAGAGGAAATTGCTGGAAGTCTTCTTACGCTTTTATGACAGTCACAAGATAATCTGCTTAGGGAAAAAGTTTATACCTTATCTGCTAGAGGTTGCCTATTCCTTAAAGCCTGAAGGCATTACTAGATGTCACCAGGCTTTCCCTGGCGTGTATCTAGATGACTGTTCCTGTGTGTCTGCTTCCTATTAGAGTCTGGGTGAGTGCTTGGCATTTTTGTTTGCATGTGACAGTGACTTGTAAAAGATATTTTGTTCTCTACAGGTTAATATATATGTATTTTTAAATCAGTTGTATGTGTATTCTGTCTTTCAGAAACTGCCTTTTAATGATACAAAAACGATGGAGAATTCTTTAGGACTTTATAAATACAGTCCAACTATTTTAGTTTCATTTATTTGGACTTTCTTACTGTTTATTATTTAAGTCTAATTTCTTGTTTTAAATTTTTTTGCCTTTATATTACTGTACCTTTATTCAGCACATGTTGGCAACTGAAGCACATGCAGTGCCTTCTATGTTAGCATTTATTAACTTCTAATTTTTACAACCTTTTTGGTGCAAGGATATGATCTCCTTATAACGCACAGAAATCTGAATTATATACCCATGCAGTAGCCTTTAGTTTCTTTTTTGTAAATGCTTTCATTATGGGTGTAAAATGCTATTATTTCACTTCCATTGCTGTAATGCAATATTAAGATCTACTGAGATCAAGAAATTCCATTTAGATTTTTTTATTCCAATTCTCTAAGGCTGCTGGAGGAAGTCTGTGGAGTTGGTCAGTTTTTTAGACGCACAACGTTGGAGGCATTATCATTTTAACATGTCACAAACTTATTTGTGTGATCATATACTATCATACATACACACCCACAGTCTCGTGGTAAAGCTATCATGTAAACATCGCCATGTTTCTGTACGCTGGTACCGTTCAGCTGCTTTGGATTACCTCACGGAACTTAATGGAATTGTCAGGAAAAATGCTTTGAGGGTTCTTAGTATAAACACAGTAGAAGCAAGGAAGCTAAGCTCTTTTAGAAAGAGAAGGGTGTTTCTCAATTTCAGGCTTTATTCTGGCAGGTAGGATAAAGAGAGGAAGTGGCTGAGCAAGGAGACGCGTCACATCCTCTCCATGAAGAACACTGAGACTGCAGTACCAGCAGATGAAGTGTCTCTTCCTAAAACTGCGAATAAATGGGATGGCAGAAGACATAGAAAAGGGGAAAATGCAGTCATGATAATTTTGAGGAGACCATTCTCAATTGTATGTTTTGCTTGTTTCTGATGATTGCACACAGGATAACAGCACAGACCCTGGTATATCTGTAATTGCAGTGAACTCAGGTGTATGGGTCAGTGCTGCAGTTACATATATTGGGTCTGAGTTCTGGCAGCTCTTGTTACACACTGTGGAAATGAAGTCTACGAAAGACACTTATATAAAGATACATCAAATAAGCTGAAATGATCCCATCTGAAATAGCACATGCTTTACAGCTGGCTTTGCTTTCTGTCTTAGGTGTTGGAAGATAATGACTATGGTCGTGCAGTGGACTGGTGGGGATTGGGAGTTGTCATGTATGAAATGATGTGTGGAAGATTGCCTTTCTACAACCAAGATCACGAGAAACTATTTGAACTGATACTAATGGAGGACATAAAATTTCCTCGAACTCTATCTGCAGATGCAAAATCATTACTTTCAGGCCTACTGATAAAAGATCCAAATAAGCGGTAAGTGAAATTACTTGGGTACATAGCCATTAAAAAAATACTCAGCTTATATTCTTTAAAGTAAAAATAGGCCACTGGTGCCTGGTCTTTCTAACTGAAGGACCAGTCATCAGAAGGGGCCATATACAGCCATACAACCTCAGATTTCCACTTACGATATACAACAGTGAGATCCATAAGCAAAAGGAGAAAAGAGATTTGGATGAGAACACTTTTAAAATCATCCACAGCAAACTCAAGGAAGTTTTCAGGTTTAGGTTATGTACTGAAACAAAACGAGAGCTATGTAGTGTTTGTCACAGGATGATTTAACCCTAAGTTGGTTACATAGTCTAATGGAAATGCCCCACTTTTTCTTTTAGTGTGATCATTAGTGAAGACACGTAAAAGCTGCCACAGCTAAGTTGCATTAAAGCATATAAGTAGATCACAGATTATGTAAACTACAAATTGATAATGCATCCTCTAAGTGAGATTTAAATGCAGTGGTTTGAAAGTGAGCATTGCCTACCTGCTTCTTGTGCACCTTTCAGCAGGATTCCTCTTTAGGAAAGCAATCTTCCAATAGTTCCTGCACTCCATCCTCAATCTCTAGACAAGAAGTTTTCTGTAGCAAGGATATGCTCACCCACACTCAGGGCAGGACCAGTTTCAGTGCCCCTCAGTGGGATTTGCCTGTGCTTAGCCAGGTGCAGCAGCTGACACAGTACAAGTGGTCATCCTTTCTGTTGCTGCCCATCAACATCTGTTTTAATTAAGTTTATTGTATGTAGTAAAAGGAAACCATGACCAACCAAATAAATACATGTAAGGTAAGAATTTGTAGTAATTACTATTGCATTTTAACCTCCAAACAATTTGATTTATCAAATATATTAGCCTTTAGAATTGAAAAGATACTTCCCTATAATTAATCTTTGCAGCCAGTAGTATGTATTACAGAATTCTGTGTTCTTCAGCTTATTCATATTCAAGTTTCAGTGCTAGCTACTGATAAATAGGGTGCAAGCACAGAGATTAACTGCAGCTCTGCTCTTCTCTGAGCATCTGGATGGGAAGATACTGAGGGAAGTCGGAAGAGTGCAGGCAGACTGGGATGCTCAGCAGAGATGTGGAAAATTTTATGAGCGGTTGAGAAACAGAGAAGAATACAGCATGGAAATAAGTTTATGCTCAGTCACTGCAAGTCTGAGATGGTAGTCCAGAATATTTCTGTAATTTTGAGAATTGTTGCTCCTTGCTTTTAAAACTTCTCTTTATGTCTTTAGCAGTTCATTTTAATGAAACACAAATGCCTGTGTCATTCTCCTTGTTGACAAGATACACAAGCTGTTTGTTAATTTAGATATTTTTTTTCTGTTGCAACTACTGTTATGCCATAGGATAGCTAGACTTGGGAAGATGCTAGATCAGAGCTGAGCAGTCTTAAAAGTCCACCTGCTGTTGAAAGGGGCAGAGGTCCTCTCCCCGGATGTGTGGCTCTGTCTCCACCACCAGCAGCCTAAGGGAGCTCACTGAAACTGATGTTGAATCAAGTTTGACTTCTAAAGCAAAAAAGCTGCCGGTTCTTTGTTTTCTCCTTGTGGGGTTAGTTTTCTTTCAGGTTAGTGAGCTGATTCCAGCTCTCAGCCTCCAGTGAGCATCACAGTCAGTGCAAGTGATGCTGTAGATGAAAGTGAGGGGAGACGTATGGGCAGGAGTGGGACCCTTTTTCTTGGCAGCAGTGTCTACTTATGGGAGCTCAGTCCACCTTGTGTGGGTTCACCTGGAGTAGGTGGAATTTGCTTCCAGAGATGACATGCCAGAGTCTGGCTTTGGCAAGTTATGGGCTGCAGTGAATAGTGTGGTTATTTACAGTGGCCTTTAAATAACCTTCTCAGCAGGCCTACAATTTATTAATTTATACTAATTAACTCAGATTGAGGCTATTTTATGGTAATTGGTTAATTGTTACAGCACCCAGATGCAACAGCAGCACACACTTTATAAAAATGATGTGTCAGTCATTACTAATTCAGTGCTTGGCACCTCCCTGGTAAAATTCTGTGTCAGCTTTGTTGGGTTAGTTTTGGTTTTTAATGGTGCCAGATCTTTAGTTAGTCTTTCAAGAAAACTCAAGAATGTCTTTTGAATGAATGGATTATTAAAAACTCATTATGGACACTAATAAACACGGTGGTTGGAATAATCAAGTATAACAGAACATTATTTGGATGCTTTTGTTAACACTTTTTATCTTGAATTCATATTAAATAGGGGAGAATATCATACTGAACAGGTCAGAGTTTTTCCCAGATACTGAAAAACAAATGGTCCTTTTTCTAACAATCATGATAATTTAATCTCCTTTTAGAAGTAGTACTTGTTTAATATGGACTTCTTTTATTTTCTGCCTAGACTTGGTGGAGGCCCAGATGATGCAAAAGAAATCATGCGTCATAGTTTCTTTGCTGGAGTAAACTGGCAAGATGTATATGATAAAAAGGTATGTGCTTATACGATGCTGAATAACCTGGCTTCTGTCCTGGGACTGTTGCTGTCTCGAAATTATGCATGTCTTTCGTTGCAACTTTTCATGTTAGTACAAATAATTATTCTGATCCAGGTGAACTTCTTTCATCTTTTGGTTTTCATTAATGATTTGTCATTGGACCACAAGTAAATGTTGCTAATCAAACTAAACTCAGCAAAGATTTTCCTCCTGTTACGTGACCTCCCAAACTTTTTCCTTTTTTTTTTCTTTCTGGGTGTTCAAGAGAAAAATTATTGTATGAATCAGGAAATTGAAAAAAATAGAATTTTTTTTTTCTGAATTGTGTTTTTGCCTTTTACTGAATTGTTATAATGAAGCAATTGAAAAGATTCATAGCAAAAATCAACTTTCTCATTATTTGTGTTTAAGTAGAAATCTCTTAAAAGTTTAGAGAGAGACCTAGCATTAAAATTCTGAGCTAGAACAGCTTTTGGAGAAAGAGAGTGCTGGGAATTGAATTTGAACAGTTTTATCTAAACACAGTCCTGTTATTACAATGATCACCACAATAGGGATGATTTTAGAGAATTAATGTATCTTACTGAGTAACGGAATTCAATTTGACTTACATTCTTCTATATGCATAAGCTGATTTGATCTCAGTACTTTTTAAGAGGTTTCTTGTTGCTGTAAAGGCCCTTCTATTTTGATAGTCTTTTTTTCCTGTGCTCCCCCCCCCTCCCCCCAAACTGTTCTATACTGTTAATCTGCCAGTTGAGCTGTGTAATTTAAAAATTTTCCTCTTCTTTTGCTTTGTTCGAAGAAAAGAAAATGGAAGACATACGAATGAGCAGAATATGTTTATGCTCCAATGTCAGTGCTGCAAACTGTTTTTTCAGTTGTTGTTGAACTGGAATTTTAAAAATGTGTGGTTGTTGGTGTGGTATTTCTCTGACAAATACCAGAATTGAAATGAGAACCTTATATTATGATACAAAATATGGTACTCTCTGAAGTTACTTGATCCAAGTGTGATTTTTCCCTGGCAGAACTGTGATGTTTCAAGAAACTTCTAAATAAATAACCTTAACGAGTGTATTAATCATGTTACTTCATGAGCTCAGAATGGTTGGTTGTTTTTAGGCAGTTGTAGGGAAGCACTCAGAGGATAAAATCTAAAACTCCAAACTGAGGACAGAGAATAGATTGGATTGCACAGTGCTGGGAGCGGGTGAGAAAGAAAAAGCCGTTTCATTACTCTCTCATTCCATCAAAAAAGTTTTCTTGATAATTTTAGGTTAAAAGCTTTCAATTCTACACTGTTAAACATCAAGTTTAGTTCTTACAATATAGATCCCCTTAACTTCTAAGCACAGGCTCTGAATATTTCCAAATCAACATGACAGGTGTTTTTTCCATCCTAATCTTATTCTGTGCTGTTAAAATAATTGGAGGTATTTTGCTTTTCTGCCCGTCGATGTGGATATGGCTTGGTGGGATGTGGTAACTGGAGAGATGGCAATCACTCCATGTTTACTCTTTCCACTGCTGCTTTGAGAAACTGAATTTGCTACTGAACGATGAATTGGATTTCCTCAGTTAACTTCCAGGACCAGAGGAATTATTTTTGTGCAGTATTGGCACGCAGTGTGTTCTTTATGGAAAAATAGCTCATTAAAATTAGTTCTGACAGTATGTTTTTCTATTTAATTCAAAAATAGTTGTATTGCTATTGTAAAGCCGTTTGTCTGGTAGGTTCAGAAGTCCAGGCATTCCTTCTGTGCACACGCTGTCTTATCAGTTCTGAAGTATGCAGAGTGCAAGACGGTGTTCTGAAATGTGAACTTCTAGCATAATAATAAGCTTAATGAACTTCAACCAAGTATTTTTATTACAGTGCTTGTGAGAAGGTTTTTGAGGGTTTGCTATGTGATACAGTTCCTAAAACAACTCAGGAGCGTGCATCGAACAAATTTGGTTTTCAAATAGCTTTATCCTATGCCTGCTTCTGTTGCTGTTTATTATTAGTAGTACAGATTTCAGTAGTAGGGTCACTTGATGAAATTTATAGTTGATATAATTATTTGCATAGTAGAGATATTTCACAGAATTCTTTTTTGAGGTTTATGCACCATGAAACTGTAATTTTCTGGCTGCATTTCAAGCATGTGTTTCTCTTAGTAATGAAGGAACTAAAGTTCGCATTCAGAGCAATAGAAAACGAAAAATCATGTGCATTCCAAGTAGTTTCAGGGGAATCATTTTGTACATGTGTATGCTGTACCACCGTGCCACTGATTTCGATCATTTCTACTCGAGATTGAGTTCATCTCTGTACTTACCAGGTTTTCACTTCATGAGTGTGATTGGAGGCAGCATTATGTGTCTGTAAACTTGGAGTGCTTCATAGCAAACACGAGCTCTGTCAGGTCAAAGGGATCCAAATGGTCGGATGGAATTATTAGCTCTCTGATACTGCTAACTAATTAAACTAATTTGGTACTTTGCAGTGATAATAAAATACTGTATGGTACATTGTGGAGCAGAGAAGGTCGTTGACTTTAAATGAAAAACGTATAGTACTTAGCATTTGTGGTCAGATGTATTTATGTTTGGCAGAAAAATCATGAGGGCATATGAAAGAGGACAGTCTGTGCCAGGTTCTTCCTGTGACCAGCTCAACCCTGATGAGTTTTCATTTCTGTGCCTGACTATGAGAAATGGAATAGTTTGGCAAACTCTGAGGACTTCAAAAGCTCATACACTTCTAAATAAATCATTTGTTTTATTTTTAGCTAGGACCAGGAAGCTTTTTGACATTTCTGTTACTCATTTAGGAATTGTTTTAGAGTACTTTTATTTGGATTGTAGAAATATTCTGAAATTGTCAGATGTTCTGTCTAGGATCTTTCACTGAACGAAAACCACATGGGCATTAATTTGAAGGTAGGAATTAGGGTATGTCTTCGGGTGTGCAGCTTGAAGCACTCAGGTGGCCCCCATCAGAGGACAATCCAGACCTCTTAGTAAAGCCTGGGTTTCCTCCTCCATGTAATAGGGATAGGAAAGGAAGAAGAAGCCAGACAGGAATTTGGGCTGAGTTACATATGTCTTCTGATTTCTGCTAGTCTCTGGCTATTCCTGAAGCAGATTTCTTTGTTTTAGTGCTGGGAAGGAAGGGGGCAAGTGGCATGCATGGTTACAGCCCTGCTGAGCACAAGGACACCCCTCCTGCAGCAGTGTGCAGGCAGTGTGCAGGCAGCTGCGAGATGCTGGTTCTCATCCTCCAGCCTCAGCCTCCAGCCTTTGCTTTTCTTAAGGCACAACCACAACAGAAGATGAAATGCCGTGATTAAAACCCTGGGTTTAAATCTGGCAAAATTAATGCGGAATGCGTATTTAGGTACTTTCACTGATCAGATTTTAAGGGAAGAGGTAGGAGGGAAATAGGAAAACGCCAGCATCTGGTTTTAAGCAGTTGCTGTTTGAGTCATGCTATTTTGGTACGATTACCTGCTGTGTAATAAAGCCTGTAGAAATGACCCATTACTTGCTTTTGTGTTGTTGCCATACAAAGTAGTGAAAACATCAGAAATCTGCTAAGCAGGCTGATCTTTTCAATGTGCTCCAGTAATACTTGCTATATGTAGATCTTATGATGATTGCCACCTCTTTGCTGAGCTGCTTGAATTTACAGAAGGCAGAGTATAGCATAAAGGTGTTTGATTCAAAAGCAAGCCATCCTTGCTGCAGCCCTGAGGAAAAAAGTTCATCTGTGGGCAAAACCCTGATGACCCAGTGCTGAAATCCTGTCTCTGCCACCTCCTCTGCCCAGGACCACTTCCAACCCCACCCCACACGTAGTTTCTTAATGGTGTGCAGGGTTTCTTCCAGCTCCCTGCTGTCCTGTCCTTTGAATCTCAACTCAGGTTCCTGTCATAACCTTGGAGGTTGGGGGTGGGATGCGGTAGGAATGGCCCTCTCCTATTCTGTAAGCTCAATTTGGTGGTTTTGTGGGATTTTGCTCCATCATGGTGTGTTTGCCCAGCCATTCAGAATTTTTGGGGAAGGACATCCAGGTTGACAGAGAGCATAATCTCGTCAGCTCCTGTTTCTCTTGGTAACTGAGCTATTTTCAGAAGAAGGACCCCCCCAAAAAAAATGTTGTTAGGAAAGGAAAACAAGTACTTTAAAAGACATATTTTTCTGGAAATATTCTTGGCAATCTGGTGTTAAAAGTCTGAGCTAAGGCTTTGGGTTACTAGTAATGCCTGCATGATTTTTAGGATCGTGAAGTTTGTTAGTATCTGCAGGATATTTAAGATCACCAAGGGAGCTTAAAAGACATATGAATGAGAGAACGCATTAACAGATATGCATCAGAAAAAAATCAAATCTAGAGATAGACTTTGCTAGTGTCTTATTAAAACGCTTTATTGTGTTATTTTGTTGTTATTGCTTTGTTGTTATTTCAGTTTCAGTAAAAATAGTCTGTTTACTTGGAATGTCTTGCAATGAGTTATGTAGTACATTGAGTTGGGAACGCTGTAAACTGTGACATGTTTTCAGCACTTAAAGTTGAGTGTGCTTGTGGTGAAATGGAAAGGTGTATTTCAGTGCTGTGACCCCGTTCTCCTCTCACAGTATTTGTCCTGCTGTTCTCAATAGATCAGTCTGTCTCTTTGTTTTGATTCTTGACAATCGCAGCTCTGCGTAGTTCTCCAGTCAAATTTAACATAGGTGGAAGTTTGATTTCTGGACATCAGATGTTGAACACTTAACTACCAACATATAATTAACTTTTGTAGCCAGGAAGAACTGTAACATTTGACACAGGTTTTGACATGTATCAGACCTGAACAGTAAACTAACTGGCAACTGTTGAAACGCAGCATTTGATGGTAATGTAAGGCATTATTGAAATATATTTTGTAGTTGTTTTTGTAATACGTTTTCAAAATGTGTAAACTCTGAGGAAAGAAGAATTCATTTCATACACTGTAATTTGTTAGAATAGAAGAGGAAAACACATTGGGATGCAGCAGCGATCTTTTTTTTGATTGGACAAATCAGAATGTCATACTGAAATTGAACCACACATGTAAGATTCAAATAGTTATTCCTCGTGAATAAAAACAGGAACTGGACAACAGTGCTCACATCTTTACATTTATACTGTACTTAAGGAATTCGTGTTCTTGAGTTTTGAGGTTATAATCCACTTACATAGTTTATTTAAATAGCTGGATCAATTCAGTGATGGTGGTGTACAGCTGCACCTCTTCCTCCTTTAGCACTTCATCTCAGAGTGCTTTTCAGCTGCAGGCTGTTGGTGGGTGGAATTCTTATGGCTTTGTTAATTTTGAGTTCATTGGAAGGAAAATTCCTTTTAAATTAAAAGGAGAGGGATGATCACAATTCTTAAGCATCTCATTTTTCACTTGACAGGTCGAGTACATCACAGACACTCTAAAGCAGCTCAGGTCACTTCCCATATGATCCAAGACAAACGATTCCTGTCAGGTTGTCTTTGAGCTAATAACATGTGTATTTCCTCTCGTACAGAAGTACTAGTGTAGCTGTTACATCGGCATGAAAAAGCTCAAACACAGAGGCTGCCTGTTCATTTCTATGTGATTGAAGTATTCAGGTGCCTACCTGCCCCTTGTGTTCCCCCAGGAGGTGGGTGGCAAGTTTCCTGGGTCTTGAACTGTGGGAAAACAGTGGTGTTCCTCACATGTTACTCTTGATGGATGCCAAATGGAAATGCCATAATATATGACAATGAAAATACTAAGAATTTGATACTGCTTCTGCTGTCATTTCTAACATTAAGCCTTGGAAATGTCTGGGGTAGATTCAGATTGATAGGTATGAAATTGGATTTGTCTTAAACATAACCTCTTACAGACAGTTAACTCAGTGCTGAATTTAGTCTTTCATTTCTTTATTTGTACACGTGTACCTGTGTACACATACATGTGTTTGTGTGTGTGTTTATAATAAATGAACACACAAAACGTGTATTTTTTGGTCCTTAGAGTCAATTGCTGAAGACAGAGTCTCCTCTCTGGTAGAAGTGTCTGCCTGAAACGGAACAAACTGCTAGAAAAGGGCAAATTGTCACATCCAGGCAGCCTGGATTGAGCAGCAGGAGACAAGGATTGGTTTAGCTGAAGCTTCTATTATTCCTTTTGGACACCTGTTACCATGTGTGCCTTGTGATGCTCGCATTACTCTTTTTGGACTTTCTGATTTCATGGGTCAGAAGTGGTGAGAGCTGTTAGATACCATTTCTTTGTGACACCAAAGCACCAAATACCACTGGGTATGGAGGGGTAACTTCATGTTGTGGTTATCAGGGCTGTACTCAATATTGTGTATTTTGTTCACCCTTTTGGGTTGCATGGAAAAGTTTCTAGGTCATTATTTAGGCTCTGTGTCAGTGTAAGTGGTTATCTCTGCAGCAGTTGCATCTTATTTGTCTTTCTAACAGTTTCATTGCAGCTGAGATTTTTGGAGATTTTACTTTCTGCTTTTAAATAAAAGCTGACAATTAATGAACAAAGGTGGCATCCCTCCAGAAAGATAATTGCCAAGTTTCTGTAGCATGGCCCGGCATGTTGGTGACATGGCTTACAAAATCTGTCTCAAGTGAGTGGTTCTGTCTCTAATCTCCTGGCTGTACTGATGAGGTACAGTGCCCTTCTGTGTGCACTTATGCACATCACTCATACCGTTCTCCCAGCTTCTGTTTTATGTGACAGGAAAGGATTTTGTACTGTATTTCTCCCATTTTCTTCTGGAGATGATGCCTAAGCACTGTGTGGAAGTTCCTTGTGTCTTGACAAGAATTGTGGAGCAACTGGTAAACTATTGTAGAGGCTCTCCCTTTAAAACAAGGAGTTTGTCTTCAAAGTCATTCTGCAATTATATGAAGGTCAGAGAAAGATTCTGTTTGAGGAAGGAGAAGGTGTGCATGTGGTGGCAGACAGGGCTTCTGAAGAGGGATGCCAACAGGCCTTTAGAAACGGCTGTGCTGGTTAAAGGCCAGGAGAACAGGCTGAGAGGAAGTTCAGGAGACCTCCCAGCTGGTGGAGATGTGGTGAGGGAAGGAGGCAGAGCGTGTGAGAAGAGTGAAGGAACCTCCCTGCAGCTCTCTTGAGCCGTGTTTGTGCCTCTTGATCTCAGCTGCCGTTTCCTCTTTCCCATAGGTGTCAGTGTATGTGAAGGTGCCGCCTGTATAAATACCAGCATAAGCTTTTGTGGAGAAGCTGCATGGCTGCGCGGTTTGTGTTTGCAGCCTCTGAAGCCTCCTACTGCTATTCATGTCTAGAAAATGAAAGGTGCTTCTGTAAGATGAGTGAATCGATCGCTGAACACCAGTGTTGCAAATTTGCACTGGGTTCTTCCCCTCTGGTTATAGACTGGAGTTTCTTCTTCTTTTACTTACACAGACATTAGACTTGTGGCATCGCTGGCATTTTCATCATCTGGCTCATGGGGTGGTGTCAATGAGCACTTGTCTATTCATTAGCCATTCAGAAGCCTGGCTCCTCAGTGTAGCACTGGAGGACGAAACGTCCTCCTTTATGGAAGAACAGATCAGCTAATGCATCACTTTTTTCTTCCTCAGCTGCAAATCCATACACCGCTATATGCTATGATCTTACCCTGCACTACCTTTTGTTTTTCATTAACCACTTTGTTCGAAATAGTATTTGTTAAAGACTGTGTAAGCTATTGTTTTCTCTTCCTCTTCACATAAGAGGTGAAGATTTGGATCAAATGAAATAGAGCTGATAGAGCACACTCAGAAGGACAAACCATTGCAGGGAGAAAAGGGTCAAACTGCTGAGTGAAAGTTAATGCTGAAGCTCTCTCCTGGAAAGAAGGAAAGCAGAATCTGCTACCATGTCCAAACCACACAGTGTCTTAATGTGAGTTTTGTAGTACCAAAGATGGTGAAGGTGACTTTCTCCAGCTAAGAAAACTTGCATGTTATCAATGGTCAGTGTAATGCGTCTGATGTGAGAAGGAAAACATAGAAAGAACTGGGTGGCAGTTTTAAGCTCGGATTTGAAAACATTACAATGTCATATATACTAAACTGCTGTGTAGTTTTGGACTGCACATTATAGTGTGCAGTATGCTACTGAATGTGCATTCTGGTTAGAATCTCTGACCTATGGGCTGTTCTTATGGAAGATACGGAGAGCGAGGCTGGTGCAAGTCATGTCAGAGTGATACTTGCAGTTAACCTTGCTGTTAGGTAGGTTTTGGACTAGTATTGTTGAGATTGTCTGTAATGGCTTGTATCTCTTACCAGGAGTTAGAGACTTGTCTGTCTCTCAGTGACCCTTTTGAAACTCCTCGTTAGATATAGGATGTAGGGAAAAAATAAAAATTGTAATTTCTGTCCTGTGATAATTTGGTTAGCTTCATGTATAATAATCTTGTTCTGTTTCTTGGTTTCTTTCAGCTTGTACCTCCTTTTAAACCTCAAGTGACATCTGAGACAGACACCAGGTATTTTGATGAAGAATTTACAGCTCAGACTATTACAATAACACCGCCTGAAAAATGTAAGTCAAAAATTATACAGGAGCATAACTTAAAAACAACGAGTTTATGACAAAGCACTTTGTGAGAAGGCTCTTCAGTTTGAATGGGAAAAGTATTCTCACTGTTAATAGCAAAAATCTTCATATGAAAGTGTGTAAAAGTAGATCCCAAAAAGAGAGTTCCTTTGAAGAAAGAATGATTACAGAGCTGAAAGCATCAGATCACTGTGTGTGTTTTGTTTGTTTGCATTTTAATATTATTTTTATTTAACTTAGTTTACAGTTCTGTCATTCTCTTTTTATGGAAAACACCAGCTTCAGATTGCTGGGTGGCTGTATACGTCCCAGACAAATATACATAAAGTACTCTTCAGACCAAAAAAAACCAAAAAAGCTGCCAGAGACAAGTGGGTGTCCCTTGTGTAGATATCCATTACATGAAAATTATTTGAAAATGAAATTTGCTATCAAGTTGTGTACTTAGCAGAGCTCTTAAAGAAGTTGTTAATGTAGATGTAATTGGTGCACTGGGCCTTGCACAAACCTTCTGTGTTGGAGTGGATTTAACTGCACCACTGTTTGATCATCTCCCGCTGCACACAGGAATCAGCCAAGCTGGGGCTTAACAGAGTCACTGCCAAGCCGGTGCTAAAGCGCGATTAAAGTCTGGCTGCTCAATTCCTTTCTTAGATTATATTTTTAACTGGGGGGATGGGAAAGGAGGGTCATAAATGTAGGCAGTAACTGCTGTAATTGAAGTTGATTACCCAGTCATAGAGATGGCTCCTTTTTTCTTGGGTTAGGATTCCCAGCTTTAGCCATAGGTTTTGTGGTATTGCACAAATCTGGAGTGATTTTCTGGGCTTTCTATTTGTTGTGTTTGATTGCAGCCATTCAAGTGATTTTTAAGTCCTCTTGCTCTGGAAAAAATTACTGTTTTTTTTCCCACCTATCTTAATAATTTGTTCATATCTTTAATTTGAACAAATTTTGTTCAAGTATGGATTAATTTAGAGGCTGTTGACTGAGTGCCATAAAGTCGTGATTCTTGGAACTCCACATGTGCACTGATAATGGGTATTTCTTCAGTGACTACTGAAGCAACACAAAATACTTGGATACTGCTGATATTTCAGATTTAAATTTTTTGAATTTGGAGCAGGCAATTAATACCAGCTCAGAGAAGCTACCTGTCTCCCAGAAGAACTGCCTTGGCCTCTGGTAATGGCACTGCTGCTGCTGTGTGAAGCAGCACAAGCTACAGCCCACCCTGGCTGTAAGAATAATAATATAAGGGTGATTACCAGCAGCAGTGCATGGATGCTGACAACATATCTTGTTTATTCAGTAACCAAACTGTACCTATAATATGACACACAATTCTAAAAGGTTGCATAGAAGTGCATTGTTGCATGAGTCAGGATTTCAATAGGTGTCCTCAAGGATAAGCACTGTTTGAAAATCCATGAGAATGTAGATCCAAATTCTCAGAGTCAGGCAACATCTGGGGTCTAGGTTCCATTCGCACAACAGGAATTATGTAAATAAAACTATTAATGAATTTGGCTTAGCCCTGATTTCCTCTGATTCCTCTAAATACTACAAAAATAAATAGTTTACTAAAAAATAATATGTAAGAATTGAAATATGTAGAACCTTTATGAATTGTTAATTTTGTTGATGTTCTTCCTTTTAACTCTCTTCAAAATGGAAAAGTACTTTTATGTGTCTGCAAGAAGATGATCATTTTCTGGACTCAGCTTAAGAAGCAGTGAAAACTGTTTCACTGCTTCCATCAGCAATGTCTTCTTTTTTCCCTTGCCCCCAGAAGATAGATGCACTGGCATGTTTTGATTAGCTCAGACAAAGTAGTAGTGATTGAAGTCCGCAGGTGATAGTCATAGTGAAAACAAAACAAAAACCTCAATAAACCAAAGTAAGCAAAAAAGCCCCGCTGCACTGCTATAAGTGATGGCTTACTGAATTCTACGAGTGAGCATGAGCCCTTAACTTCAGCACTGAGATCTGAAAGATGGGCTGCGTATCAGACGAAAAATAAAATGTTGTTATAAATATAATGACATTTTGAATTTCTCCCTTACTACAGATGACGAGGATGGTATGGACTGCATGGACAATGAGAGGCGGCCGCATTTCCCCCAGTTTTCCTACTCTGCAAGTGGACGAGAATAACTTTTTTGTTCTGCTGCTTCACTGTCATCTTAGGTTTATCACTGAAAATGATTCCTGAACATCACCACCAGTACTAGATACCGTTTAAGATAGCAGGGGCACTTTCAGAGACCATTCCAAATTGAACAAATTTCTTTCCCAAACGTACCTAAAATCCGTTTTGGTTTTGCATGAAATACGGTATTTCTCTACGCTCTCCCGCTGTTGCTGCTGCCCACCGTCTCAGTATAATAGCAACGTCAAGAAATTACTAATGGTTTCTTTGAAGGTAGATGACCGTACGTCAGCGTTGTACACTTTGTGCACAGATAGTCATCTGTTTTTCCACGCAGTGGAGGCTAAACAAAAAAACGTGTTGGTCCAGCTTATCTTCTTCTAGAAGATGAATCAAAATTGTACTTAGTCTAAAAAAGACTAGTCTATAATATTTTCTTGCATCTGTTTGTGCTGTTTAGAACAAGGAAACACGGGGGTGGTGATGTACATATGCAAGGTTTTTGTTAGGCATATCATTACTTGAAGCAGGTCTCTGTCAATAACATCTGGCTGGAATTTGCTCGGGAAACGTTTGAAAGAAGGACTTAAACTGTTGATATATATAAATATATATATATATTATTTTTTAATTACTGTTGGATACTACAGAAGAAGCAGAAGGGCTGGCTCACCCAGCCTGCCACTTAGAACTTCCAGGTTCATGTGCAATCACGGAGAATCGAACATTATACATGCAAGAAATGAAGGCATAAAAGCAGCAGTTGAAGTTCTTTAAGGGGTCTTATAATTTGCACCAGATAACATCTATCTCATGCTTTTCTTTTTCTTTCATGATATACATCACCTCTGATGGCTGAAGAATGTAGACAGGCATAATGGTATTGCTTTTCACCCAAATGTGTGCACCAGGGTAAACAGGTGTTTGCCTTACTTTGAGTTTGTGAATTAGCTCTTTCTCCAGGTGTTTAACTCTGAATATCTTTTTTTTTTTTTTTTTTTTTTGTTTATGCTGCGGTAGTATTTATTTTTAGAGATAAGGATTGTATGTGTCATGTTTGCAAATGCTGCTACATCTTAGGTAGAACAGGCTTATAGCAGTTAATTTTGTTGTAATATATGGAAGGACTGTACAAGCTGAAGGGGATAACGCACTTTTGTCCAATGTGGAGATATTAGCAAGGCTCTGAAATTGTACATACTGCTTAGAATCAGATTTTTTGTGAATGAAATACTGTCTTTTAATTCTTTGGCAGTGGAGACGAGAAATTCCAACTTCACGTGTCAAAGGATTAAAACTAAATAAATAAGAACACTACATCTTGTGCTGTATTCAGGATAAAGATACTGTAAAAAGCCTGAGAGCACAATAGAAAATTTCTATTCTGTGCGAGGGAAACATCTGAACAATGAGACCACCGTGATTGCAAGAAAAGCACTTTATTCTGATAATTCACATAGTAAATTTCTGGGATCAGCCATTGTCAAGGAAAGTTTGCCCTCGTGAAACCCAGCATGTCACCCGTGACCGTGGTACCAGATTGACTGAATTTAAGACATTGCAAGAAACACTGCCGCTAGGAAGATGTCTTTCCACGTCCGAAGATCTTTATCTAACAGAGCATGTGCGTAAACTTTAGCTTTCTTCTTCAGCAATGATAATCTTAATAATAAACCCGTTGGTGCTAGGAGCTGGGATGTTACGCAGTGCAGCGATGTGCACACGCCCTTGCTAATGACATCTGAGAACCCCAACTCCATGGGATTATCATTGAAAGTATCTCCGTGTTCGTAACTTTTTAGCTCCCACAAAGACTGTGATATCAGAACATTGCGCTGTGTGAGTGAGGGGATGAGTCTGAAAGGAGACCATACCAGATGCCTCCTTAGCCCCTTGATGTGGAGTTGAGTGTCCTGGCATGAAGCCCACTGCTGGCAGTGCACGTGCTGGGACTGACAAGGGGCAAACGGGCATTTCAGCAAGGCAGCTAAAGACGCAGACTAGTTTAGACAATTTTTAGTGTTTCATGTTTTATCTTTAGTGATGGATGGATAATCAGTCAGAAATATATCACGATGTATATGCTAACTACATAGGATCTGATGCTGTCACCTTCTAACACTAAATGTGTAGAGATTATCCCTCTGTAGGGAGCGAGCGCAGTAAATGCATGGCAGGTCTGTGGAAGTGTCTGCGCTGACAGCGAGTGAGTGACTGATGTAACTGATGACGCAGTAGATGGGCATTATAATTTTCTGCAAAGGCCTCAGGCTTAAGAGGCTGAAACTATGGTGGTTCAAAATCTGTGTTCCGTGCCTGTGGTGTTACTTTTTTCCAACGTTTTCAGCTTATAACAGCAATAAGGTTTTTGACACAGGCACCTATAGTTCTTGGCTGAGTGGAGTTGTGCCTCTGGCCAACCCTTCCTCATGCTGAGAAGAAAGGGGCCCCGTAGGTGGGTTTGATTCATCATTGCATAGCTCGTTAGAATGCAGTTTGCAGTAAATATTTCTCTGTGAATTCTTTGAAAACCTCTTAATAAGGCTTCATTCAACTTGCATTGTGTTGCTGCCTTCCAAAGTCTCATTCATCAAGTATATATTATAAAGTTAGCAGTGTCATTTAATGCTGCCCCAGGCTGGGAGATTCTCTCTGAGCAGTGTTAGAAATGGATGAAAGAAGAATTACAGGCTGTGCTGAGAGAAACTTTTGAAGCTCCTTTTTTCCCACTTGCAGTTGAAGTTGGGCTTGGGCAGCGCATGGTGGTGGCTGGGTACCTGATGAGCCTTCTGAGCACAGTACATTTCAGATGCTGACTCCAGCTTGTACTGACTTCCATGACATACACTATGCCCTCTTGTACTGCAGCCATCTTGGAGAAATAGGTCATTTCTGTTTGGGTTTCGGCAGTTTTGCACACAGCTTTGCTTTCCACACGAATCCATCTTCCAGTACATTCCTGTTGCTTAAAGAACATTTATTCCAGTGTTGTTTTCCATTTTTTCCATCTATCCTCGCGGCTTCTTAAAGCTGACTGTTCTTGCAGGGGCCATGTGCTTCTCCTAGAGTACAAAAGTAAGGTCTCTCCTTACTAACTGCAGGGTCTATATATTACACCTCAATGTACACACTTTGCTGCTACTGTTTGTACTGTCTACAGTAGAATTTCCTTATCTTGCTCCTGGTAGTGCATTACAGGCAAGCATGAAATGTAAAGTATTTATTTAAATAAAAACCTCTAAATTGGTAATTGAATTACCTCCCTGTAGCTTTAGAGTTTGTGACATTTCTTGACCTTGCTAGTTCTTTCATTAGATCCATGCAAGATCTAGTCATATGGTTAAGGATATTAAGCAGACACGACTATGAACCCAAGAAACCGTATTACTGTTGGTCATACTTAAACTGTTTATTTCCTTAAGTATATGACCCACAAGGATGTGAAATAACTACAAGAAACTGTTTTTGTACACTGTACATCCTTAGTATTTTTACACATATATGATAGGGATGCACATTATTTTCCTTCGTACAGACAGCTTAAATAAAGCACTATGTCAATCTGCTACTTCTGTGTTTTTTAATGCTAATTTGTTCTGGAGGTTTGTAAATATATTATATATAAATGTTCAGGCTTGCCACAAAGGACATATTTTTTTATATCTGCACATTAAATATCTTAGAGGATAAAGTTCTGAATTTGTTCTGCGTCAGAGACAGAAAAATGGAAGCAAGAAGGTGGTTTTGCAGATTACAAAAGATCTCTCGAGTTTTGGTTTAAATATTTACTTCATATTTTAGAATAATTTTATATAGGTTAGATGTTTCGATCCTGAAATGCACAAAGAATTGACTTAATTTCTTCTTACAAGAAAATGTACATCGTTATTTTTTTATCACTGTATGTATAATGATCTGTGCATGTTTAGTTACAAGTTTATTTGCTGTGAAGTCCTCGTGGTAACTGTTCCTTGTCGTGACCTATTTCAGATACCGGGTGAGCAGTGTCAGCTTGTAAATTCAGTTATAGTATTGTCACCAAAAAAGGCTTTTCTGGCTAAGCAAGATGTGTTTGTGCTGTGGACCAAGGCTATTTCCACGCAGGTGGTTCATGTTAATTCTTTGAGGTATATGTATCTTTTAAAAGTAAATTTGGGTTATAATTTTCAAGTAATGATTACACAGGGCTGCATTCTATCAGAACACCCAGTATTTAAGTGCGTTGTCCTCTAGTGGAATTCATGTTCTCAAATCCTTTAGCTAGAGTAATGTCCTGGGGGAGGGAGACAGGGGAGGTGTGATTTGCAGGGCACCTTGAGGTGGGACTCATTGAAGCCCAGCTGGCCTGTTTGGGTCAGGAGGGCTGAGTGTCCCTGAGCAGTCTGGGCATCAGCTCAGTTCTCAGACATGAACCCTTCCCTGGAATGTGAGGAAATGTGTGAGCCAGCTCTCTCTTTTTTCTTCTTTTTCTTTCTTTTTTCTTCCCCAGTAGGAAGGGTGGAGCACAAGAGAGAAAGTTGCAGATGCAATAGCAGATTAGTGACTGGGCCTCAGCCGGGACAGCAGGACCATCTGTTCAGTCTGCTTGGAGGTATGGGCACAGAGCACATCAGGAGGTGATGCTCCAGCTGAGACAGGAAAGGTCCTGGGTTTTCTCACCTCATCTGGCTTTTGTAAACTTTATAAAACCAAGCATTTTGTGGCTAAATAGTTGGTGAGGAGGGGGGAAATGGGAGCTGGGAAGACCTGGCCCTGTCTGTGCCCAGCAAATAAGCAACTGCTACAAGCAGAGAAGCTGCTGCAGAGAAGTTGCTCCTTGTAGATGCGCACCCCAGTGGCTGGCAGTTGCCCTCTTCACAATACCACCAGCACCAGCTGGCAGTGAGGCAGGTCCAGAAGGGTGAGGTGCGGCTGTGCTCCGGGGTCTCAGTGAAGCCTCAGTGCTGGGACTCGGTGCCTGAGTTCCTTTGCACTCGTAGCCGAGAGACACTTCTCCTATTGAAACATAGATTTATGGCGTAGGAAAAAAAAAAGTTTGCTGTTTCTTACATTTATAAACACATTCTTACCTAACTATCTATAAAGTAGTGTCAGTTACAGAAAAAGATGTCCTCGAGTGTGGAGAGCCCACACTTGTGCTAGACAGGAACCTTCTTTGTCAGGCGTTCCTTCTTGACAGACCTGAGGCAGTGGAAGCACATTTACTGTCATGGCAGGGAGGCAGGCTGGGGAGGAGCTCAGATGTGCTTGGCAGTTTCATATGGCAGGAAATTGAAATGGGAAGAAAACCACTTTGATGTTAAAGCTGTACCACTAATAATTCCTGAAATACAAGGGAAAGATTGAGTCCCGCAGCAAATGGTAACTCGGTCGGTGCATCTGCCATTACTCCTATTTTTGTTACATTTCAAGTGTTCATGCTGGCTGGGGCAGCTTTATCACAGGGGAATCGTTCTCTGCACTTTTTTCTTCTCTTCACCATTGCGATTCAGCAATTACACTGAATGTAGAAACTTTTTTCTTCTATAGTTTATCATGCAGTAGTTCAGCAAAAGATTCAGATAAATTCTTTTTGAAAGAGCCTGGCATTTGGAAAGTCGTTTTAAAAATACAAACATGAAGGCAAGCAGAAAAAAAAAAGTCCTCCAAATATATTGCCAAATGTTTTAAGTTCAGTAATTTGCATTTGAGTTCAGCTGCTGCCCATCCCTGAGACAGCGGAGTGTCTGCCAGCACGGGGGTCCTAAACAGCTTCCTTGGTGGCAGGAACCCAGCACCTCAATGCCTGTGCTAGCACAGTCCCTCTGTCCCCGAGGCTTTGACCACTAAAGGGAAACCTGGCCCAGGGAAATGACTCAATCTTTCTCATGCTCTTCTGCTGGATAAGTAGTTGTTTGTTAGGACTCAGATTTTTGTGTAAAGGAGACAAATGCTTTGTAAACCTCAGTTTCCCAGGTAGATGCCAGTAGTGAGTCCTTAACACAAGCCTGGTGTGATCTGTGCTGGGCTTACCAGTCTCCTCTTCCACATACACATGCCTTCCCTTGAACACAAAAGGACACAACCAGGAGAAAAAGAATTAGTAAACTAAGTTTATTGGGAATGCCATTGGTAAATAAGACAGACATCTGTATTACAAAAATAGATAAAAATATTTTATAAAAATCGTAGAAATAACGAATCCAGTGCGTGCTCCATCACAGCTGTTGCCATTGGATTGCGGTGTCTTAGGCAAGTCTGAGATGTCTTCCTAGAAAGTTCAGTAGGGGAGTAATGTTTCAGTATGTTGATGGCACTACAGTTAAAAACAAATGCAAAGCAGGTGAGAGTAGGCAGCATGTCTGCTTCTCTGCAAATGGTTCTCTGTGAGCTTCAGAGAAGCCCAGGTTTCAGGCGTGTACAGAGGAGAACTGAAAGACAGAAGAAAGAGATGGGAGCGGAGCGTAAGTAGTGTGTATGGAGCTGCTTGCACTTCTGGTTTGTGTCACTTCAGCCTGGGGGTGAGTTCTTAGAAGAGAAATGCATAAATGGTTAAGAATGTGGCAATGCTATGTAAACAAGCACTGTTCCAAAGCCTGGCTTCCTGTGGGCCTGCTGTCCTGCCTCTTTCTAAGATCAGAACTCTTCCAGGTAACAAGCACAGGAGCTGTTTGATTTCTGAAAAACAAGGTCTCCCTGAGCTTTAGCCATCACTTGTGTTTAGCAGTAAATGACTGAGCTGCTGTTTTGGGGCACGTCTTGGATCCTGCCCCTTCTCCATTCCAGGAAGGAGGAGGCAGGGTTGTGCCAGAGAGTGTTTACTGTGAATTGTACAGACTGTATATGGGGTGGACAGCTGTATCAAAACAGGAAGCTGCCTGCATGCTGTTAGAAAACCTCTGGTGGGAAGGCTAATTTACAGTTTTGAAGTTCTTGCATAGCTATTGTTTGTGCTTCCTCAGTAGCACTTCAGCACTTCATTAAGACAGAGAGATAAAGCTCTGCTGGAGCTGGGGTGGGTACTCAGAAGTAAGTGACTGCAGTTCTGAAATTTGAATTCTAAGAGATGTAAATGACCTCAGAAATAAAAATAAACTTTCCACATCGGCTGGTTTCATGTTAGAGGACTTAAGGGTTTTTCTTTAAAAAAAAAAAAAAAACAACAAAAACTTGGTAAGGTAATGAAGGAAGAGTTTAAAAAGGATTTATAATGCTGCAGTTCATTAAAGAATTAATTAAAAACAATAACATGGTACTTTTTTTCCAAGAATCCATGCACCACATTACCTGCGGTGGTGATGATCAGCACACTGCAACATGAGCGAAATCCAGGGAAAGACACAGAGGTGAAACTCAATACCGGTGGCTGCTCAGAGGACGCCTGCTCTGTGCTGCACTAACCCCTCTGCTTAAGGCCAGCACCAGAGTACAGAAAAAAGATGACAAACTACACCCACTCTGCACTGCTGTGCTCCTGGCCAGGCACCTTGCAGGAGGTGTGGATCCTGCTTACAGCTGTAGCCTCACAAAACTGGCCACACTCACACGATGCAGCGCTGGAAGCATTCCTATCAGGGCAGCCAAGCATCAGACGCTGTGCTAGCTGTCTCCCTCTCTTCCTTTCATACTTTAACTGACTCATCACTGCCCCAAAAATCACACCTTGTCTGCAGAATATCACTGGCTTTACAAAAACCTGGCAGAAGCACATTTTTGTACATTAAGACTAAAAAATAAGGCCCTCCTCCCCCCCAACTAGACTCCTGAAAGAGGTGAGGACCTTGCAAGGATCAGCCCAAATCAATTCTGACATCAAAGATGGAAGTGCTACTCATCTTATGGCTGTGCAAAGGGCAGCTTCAGTATTGAAGTTGAAAAAGAGGGCAAACTAAGGACTTGGGAACCCATCCAAACTGTGTGCTTGTTGCTGGGGCCCCACAGCAGACATAAGAAGACAAAGGACATCTCAGCTCAGAACAGCTGCAACTCTGAAAGTACCTGTATGAAGTGAGGGGGGGAATATACTCAAGGTTGAGTGTATTTTATATTCCTTTTAGGAACAGTGGTTTAGTCACAGGTTCGCTGTAAAATAGGATGTCTCAAATGAATGAGGAGGCAGGTTCATTGGCACAATCTGGAGAGCATGGGGAGATTTTCAAGGGAGAAGGCAGACCTGGCTGGCGGTAACCCAAGGTCCCAGCCCTGTTAGCTGTGTGCACAAGGTGGGACACAGCTGGCAGCAGCCCTTTGGACAACCGCAGTCTGCAGGGGAATTACAAACTGGGACAAATACCTACTTCTGTATAACTGATGGACACCACGGCAGATCCTGCAAGTGAAGAGCATTCCTGCATTCAGAAACATTGGGTGGACAGTACTGAGGTTTTTAGAAATCTCAGGTTTTTTTCTCTGTTTTGTTTTGTTTACTATATTATGTACGTTCATATTTAGTACCCAGGATGGGAGCTGTGTCTCTCGCTCTCTTGATTTAGAGTGACTGGTGATTTAAGACTTTCAAAAGCAGAAACTTAAAATATGAATCTTCCAAAAGCTTTCAAAATAAGAGGTATAAATCCTGTAATTAAACTTTTGTCTGCCTTCAGGTGGATCTGCCTATGGTAAACTATATTCCATTATTAACTATTAATGACATCTATTCAAATCGGTGTAATGGCTTCATCTGCAGCACACATTGTAAGCTCAGGCTGAATTATCGTACCAATCCTTTTTAGCTCTATGAAAATTAAAATTATGATTTGAGAATCTTCATCATGTTGTACCCATTACTGCCTTATGCTGGAATGACAAAATTCTACTTCTCCCCTTACCAAGGTCTCTGCCTACAGCATGCTTCACATTTTAGAAAAGAAGATACATAAGGAAAGTTTGACGAGGAAATGAACTGGAAAAGCATCAACAGTGAAATAAATCAGTGCTGGAGTGGGAAGGTGTATGGATAATTGGAGCCTTCTGCTATCCTCTGTGGGACAAACAGAGCCCCAAATTTGCAGGAAGGTGATTATATTGAGATTCCTTCTGTGACATGAGGCTTCATGTCATTGTTTCAAAGGATGTAATTCATTGCTGAGGATGACAGAGGCATTTTTGAGTCCTGTGGCATTTGCCTTGGTTACTCCTGCAAGTTCCCACCGGGTCAAGATTTGTCTTTCTTTCCAGTTTAAACTTTAAGATTGTTTGTTTTAATTCTGTCAGGTAAACCTGCTTCTGTTGTGGAGTGCTTGCCCTGATTTTTAAGTATGGAGAAAAAAACATTCCACAAACAACACACCAACAGTTTCTAGCCCCAAAATATTTCAAACACTTTTTTTCTCCCTTTTGTCTTGAAGTGTTTGCCAGATTCAGCCCACATCTGCAAATAGTTTTAGTCTTTCTTTCCTCTCTCTCCTTTTTCTCTATATATAGTGTACAGAAAAAATACCTACTTGTTCTCATTTCTCTTCATCCATCCAGGTTTTTACTTGATTCCATCTGTGTCCTGTTTGAGATCTGCATCCCATTTCTTTTCCTGAAATACACAACTGCTTATGTTCCAAGATACAACAGCAAATTTCACTTAGCGTATCTGACATCATCTTGCAAGGATTTGGTATAATTGGTTTCTCCCCCTTTCCCCAGAGCCCAAGCTAGCTGTAAATGGTAACTGTTGAGTAAGGCAGTAAACCAAGGTATATTTTCACCTTTAATTAATACTGATTACACAACTGAAGTTATAAAATACATCTTTCTAAAATAACTAAATACATCTTTCTCTATGTAAAATTTTCCATTTATGGTGAATTGTCCTTTTCTTCAAATAATTGTCTGATATTCCAGGCAGCCCTCTTGGGCTGAATCCCAGTTCCCAGAGAACACTGCTGCTTTAAATAGCTGCAAATAGGTTCTTAGTACTCATTTTGTAATAAGTTTTTAAAAATTTTTCTTCTCTTCTAAGTGTTCCCAAGTAAAAGCATCCTCTGAAGCACAATCAACTTCTAATGAAGATACAGAAGGAAGTCAAGACTTGATAGCAATATATCTCAGTGATAGTCTTCCTCTTTTGTATGATTTTTGTACTTCTGCCCAAATCTATAAAAGCATACTTTTTTCCAGATAAAAGAGATTATCAATAACAGAATCCCTGTGAACTGCTTATAAAGTCTCTTCCTATTACTAAGAGTGCTTCCCTTCAAGTAGTCATTTTCATCTCAGAACAGCAAACCTTCCTTAGCTGCCTTACAGAGAGAACACTGCTGTTGCCCTCACGCTCGCCAGTAGTTACCACATGCTGATAACCCAACACTATCTTAGTTACCAGGTTTGTCTACCACAACAGGAAACCCTGTCAAACCAAACACACTGGCATGATTAAAAGCTTAACTAAGTATGGATTTTATTTACTTATGATAAGAACTTATTAAATCTAACTTCTAAGACATTCATTTTCTGTTTACTGCTACGTGTCCTACAAACAGAATACTCTGCTGCATTTCTTTTGTCACCTATTGAGTAGAATGCCAGAAATCCTGCGCAAACTCACGAGTTTACTGCATTTATCAGTTAGAAGACATCGTGGTACAGTTGAATTAGCTGATTATTTAATAGTTTAACTATCAAATATGCTCCTGTTTTTCTTTCTTCCTCCTTTTCCTGAAAGAAGTGGATGAAAGAAAGAAAACAGCCACGCAGTCCTCTCCCTTATTTCCAAAGCACTCACTAAAGAACTGTGGCCAAAAAGCTGAGCAACAGCAGCCCACAGGAACCTGCAGCTTCCTGGAGACCGCTGGAAGAAGCATGTGGTCCTGCTGAGGTGCAACTGCAGTCTCAGTGCTAAGGCAGAGCTGTTTCACGTTCTCCATCTCTTTTGGGTGAGTGTTCATGAAGCAGCAGGGAAGATGGATGGCATTTAAAAATAAGGGGAAGAAATCACCAAGTGATCGACGGACCTAAGTCTGACAAATGGTGGCAAAAAGATCCAATAAATTATCAGCCTCTGCTACTGTTCAAATGGTAATGCTTGGAAGAGCTGATTTGCCTTATCTCTGAAAAGGGAACACAAAAATCTTCTGATAAGAAAGCCAGGAATTGTAACCAAGAATGACTCTGCTGTTCTCCTGTCTCTTCAAAACACTTCTTTTAGTTTGGGCTGAAGTGGGACTCAGGTCCAGCTAACGTCTCTCTCCAATTTAATGGAATAATTTCTTCATAAGGTAATGCCTTACTTAAAACACCAACAAAAGCCAGCAGTTGAAAAGAGACTGCTGGTGGATTTCTCTGCTAAAGCTGCAGAACATTCCCCTCAGACTTCCTTTTCTTTTGGCACAAGTACCTGTGTTCGCAGAAACTGCACTTCTTCTGTCAGCAGCTGCTTCTCTTTGAAGAGCTGATTCTGTTTGTTGAGGAGCTCCACAAGCTGCTGGGCAGTGGCCTGGCAGTGCTTGTCCAGCTGATGCAACCTGCAGAAACAGATGAAAGGATTGCACTGTGCCTGAAGTGGGAGTGTGCTGCAGGGCTCGGACATTTGCACTGCAGGTGAAGCTCCCAGGTGACAGAGCTCTGTCTGGCGTTGCGCTGGGACTGCAGTATTGCTCCCAGGGTGGCCATTCAGTGCATTTTGACTTGACACTTTCAACAAGCATTTCTACACGTCTGCCCTTCTCATGACAGGACAGCAAGTCAGTGTCACAACATCAGTAAAGGCCCCAGGGCTGTATCCCAACATCTGCAGCTATGCAAGCTATGCCTTAAGCTATGCCTCGCTCTTCTCCAGCATAGATCAGGTGCTCTTCAGGAGTGAGGCAGGGATTCCTCTGGAAAGACACAAAGAGCCCAAGGGTCCTGCTTTGTGACACTGCTAAATAGAGGGCAGCTGCACCTTTTGCTTTTAATCCCCAACCCCAGACATCTCCAGTGACTGCTTAGCACTCTGAATTCCACAGTGAACATTTTTAAGTTGCTGTAGCAAGGGAAGTAAATGGAAATAAACTGAAAAATGCTTTTACATTAAATGCATTTCATCTGTTCTTTAAGTGGAAACACTTTTAACTAGAAGGCCTTGCAGATATCTTTGAATCTTTGTAAATATCCAAATCTAGAGAAAAACGCACTTAGGAAGCAGGAAACAACTTGCCTTTTGTTATGGCTAGTTCTAGATCCAAACTTTCCAGTTGTTTTTTTTTTTTTTTAAAGGATTTCTTGTTCAAGATATTGAAATACAGCTTCCACTGAACAAGGTGCATCTGTATCTCTCGTAGGGTCTCTGTTTTTAATGGAATTAGTTATATGCTCACAATAAGGCATATGATTTTCAGAATTTTTTACTTTCAACTCCATGTGGTAGCTTTGACTTGTACAGCTGTCATAACTCAGCTAAGATAATCGCTCTGAATATTCACATTCTTAACCAGGATTGTTCAAATGTTTGCATTAGTAAACACCTCCAAATTTCTTGATAGTGAAATCTCAAAATTTATATCAAAAACAGCATTTAGTGGTCTGTATCTGTCAGCCACCATCTTTGAAGTCAAACTGCAAGAATCCTGCAGTGAACACTCTGAATGGATATATTTCATCCTGCCCTGTTACTCTGCTAATATATATTGCAGAGAGGGACTGGGGAGCTGCAGGACCATCTCCTGGGGATCAGAACAAAAGTAACTGCAGCATGTTGCAAACAGTGACAGCAGATTTGTAAACATTCAATGAAATAAACAAAAAGACCACTTTAATAACACAGAATATTCTATTAGATACATATACACTGTGTATTCAGTTTCATGTTCACTATACTTTCTAAACTGTAGCACATAGATACATGAGCTATTCATGCTTGATTTCTTTACTAAGGGTGAATTCAGGGGCATGGAACTCCCAAAAAAACCCAACCAACAAACCCAACCCAAAACAAAATTCCCTCATACAAAATCCCCTTGCACTTTTTTTTTGTTCTTGTTCTGTTTTTAAAGATACTTGCACCTCCAGAGCATCAGATTGCTCCCACTGAGTGCAAGGACAACAGCACTGTTTGCTGGAGGCAGTGTACCAGTTTCAGACTGGAGAGCTGAGTTCTGCTTACTATTTTGCCATTGATTTCCTTTAACTTGATGTTTTGCGACCTTATCACACTTCTTTATTTGTAATAAAGGCGCCTTCCAGTCCTTTACTTATAGAGCACCTACTACTTTATAGCAGTACTTGTAGGAAAGTGTAACTGGAATGTGCTGCCTTCAGGCAACCAAAAAAAACCTCCAGTTTAGGTAGAGCCTCAGGGCTAAGAAATCCTCTGTGTCACCTCAGTACAAAAGTCCCATTCAGCAACGACCAACTACAGTCTGGATTCAAGCCATTAAAATGCAACTTTCTGCTGAGTTCTACGTTAGTACTTTTCCCATGATACTAGCATTCGAGTCTGTTTTAAGGACCTTTGAGAGACCACCTTACACAACATTTCTGTCACTGGAACTAAAGACATAGTTAAGTGCACAAACCTCTCATCAACATTTCTGCAGCAAAACGATGAGCGTCGCCAATGTACCCTGCATGCAAAGGAACCTCTGCTGAAGGAGCCCACAAGGGAAGGACATTCCCTTTTCCCTTGTGAGTAAAAGGCTCTAGCTGAAGAGACATCACTGCAAGGAACTACTTGCACTTCTGGCACACAGACTGAAGTATTTTCCAGCTCTTGGAAATTATATCAAAACTACACTTTCTACAAAGGCAGCCCATGCAAACCACAAAAACATCTTTGGATACGGACCTTAAGTGCACTCCACTGAAAAGCTCTGTATCCTACCATATCCTGTAAAGGGTAATTTGAATTAACTTCTGTAAATACAGAACTCTCTAATTCTAGCATGTTTCATAACTTTACCATGTTACATCAGACTAGCCCCTTAAACAAAGGTAGAAAACGATGCAGGCACTGAACTGGGCTTGGCTGGCAGACCAAACCTTTACTTGTACCACCTGTAGCCAGCTCCAGAAACAGGGTTAATAATGTTCCTTCCTACAGCTCAGATCTCATCAGTGCACATCTCAGTCTATTAATTCCCAAATTCTGTCTACCATTCTGCTCTCCCAAAACTGCTGCCAAGCTGATCCTTGCTCTGCATGCTGGGATGACCAGCCTGCTCCGGTGCAGTCAGCTCCCGAGGACAGGCTCTGGGCCCTCTCACAGTGTCTGCTATTACGTGTGACATGTGCAGCACAGCCACACATTCCCATATGCATTGTATCTGGCCTGCCTGCTGATCTCGTAAATGATTCAAGATGAGAAATGAACAGCTCCACCCACATTCACTGTACTTCCCATATGTTACAACTGCACATCGATGCCTGCCATCATTTTTACAACTGGGTGACAGAACCTTCTGCACATTTTGCTAATACGAGTGAGTGAGGTTGTGCAGGCACCACATTCACTTTGGCAACACCATCGACTGAGCAAATGTGCACCGTGTCCTGAGCACAAGTGACCACTGCACAACAGCCCACACATTTCCCACTGAGCTCATTTTCCCTCTGGAGCATGAAGAGCTCCCCAGTTGGGATGTCAGTGGCTGCTGCTGCTCTGTGGCCTGGAAGCACTGAAGAGTGGGACCTGATCCCACTGTCTGCCATGTTGTTTCAAGGCACAAGGTTCAGAAACATGTTATATTTGGACTGCTTACAGGACAACTTTACACCAATGAGTAGCTTCCATGTAGCTGCAATGTCCTTAAAATATTTTTCCACTGAGGCAGTCTAAACCAGAATTCCTATGTCTACACAGAGGCAGGGTACAGGCAGTTTTGAACAGTGCATGCTTCCACTGGAGACCGAAGCAGAGGCATGACAAGCCACAGCAAGCACCTCATGGTGAGCATTTTGTTCTGATCCTGAACACCTGAGCTTGAGTGCAGCTCTGTGTCAGAAGGGCTTTGGGCTATCTTACCAACTTTGTGCAGCTCGTGCTATAGCCCGCAGAAGGACTCATCTCTCACTGCACAGAAACTGAACTTGGATCTGAATAGGCAGTCCTGGGTGAAATAGAAAGGACAGGTGCATTTTGTTACATTACAGGTAGGAGCAGACAGCCAGAAACTCCATGAACACAGAATGCAGAGCAGATCTATGGCACCAAGGTGAATTCTGCCCAGAGGAATTAACTGCAGCACAAATCTGGCCAGTGCCACGTGCCCTACAGACAGAAGTAACAGCTTCCTTTTCTACAGCCCCAGCACCAAGCCTGGGGCACCTACCAGGCCCCAGCGTGGACGCTATGAGCTCCTGCCCCAGGGAAGTCACAGGCCCATTAATCCACAGGCATCTGTGAGCCATGTGGGAGAGCCGGTTCCACAGGGGCCAGTAGGGCCTGTCAGCCCTCCTCCGAGTTGTACGGCTGGCATGGAAGAAATTAACATGCTGAGATTGGCGGGCAGCACCTGTCCATCCAGCAGTGGGGATCAGTCCTTGACAACACAGAGGCATTAAAAGGTTATTTACTCTTTCGGCACAGTCGGGGAACTAACGTAAAATGCTTTCCCTCTACTCTGCCGAGCGGAATCTGCTGAAATGGCGCAACTGGATTGCAGCAACCTGCAGCAGCTAAATCACCAAATCCAATAACCACGCTGCATTTACTGGCACACATCTTAATTAGGTTTTAATACAAGTAATCTGATAACTACTGCTGGCCAGCCCGTGCGGAGCTGTCAGAGCTGAAAGGGCCGTTACCACCCCGCCAAAACCCCCCATCTGCTGGTTGCTGTGGAAACGGGGCAGCCCGTCAGGCCAGGGATCCCTGTGGCAGGGAAGGGCCCGAGGCCACAAGAAGCCTGAAAAGGGGACAGGCAGCAGCATGGTGCAGCGTGCCGTCTGCAACACCTCCCCTACCAGGAGGCTGGAGCGCCAAGTGGGAGCATCTTGGTGCCCACGTGCCTGGGGATGGACCTGGCAATCAGGTGCTGCTTCTGGTGACCAGGGGAAAGATGGGAGCAAAGGCACAGACCCCAGGATCCTGCACAGATGCTCCTGAAGGAGGCTCTGCCCCAGAAGGAAGGCGATGGCAGACCTGGAGGTTGGCCATTTGTGTAGTGTATGCCAGGCTTAAAAACAAACAGGTTACAACAAGAGGGAACAAGCCAGTTAGGTAAGACAACAAAACTCAGCGCTTTCCTTCAACAAGCTTCCACCCCTATTAGCATTTATTTAGGACATCTTGCAAATTTGCTATTGTACTGAAATGGTAGGAAGTAGTCAAGGTAGGGTACTTCAGAGATAGCTGTACTACAATACATTTAAGGATGTTGGCTTGTCTATTCAAATAGTCAGAGGGTTAAGAAACACCAGAGCAAAAGCTCTCGGTGCAGCATCTTCTGGCCCTAGCTCCCACCTCCACAGCAACTCTCCTGCCCTCACCTCTTCCCCAGGCAATTCCCCACCATTACTGTTGAACTGTTTCAGATCGTAAGTTCAG